TCCAGGGCAAAGCAGTATTTTCAGATTATCTACTCTAGATTGTCACAGAACTGTCTCGGCAAGCCTTTTGATCGCAGCATGACAAATAAAAAATACAAGAGCATGATGGACCTCCCTGGCCATAGGCATAGCACAATTGTCTTAACCCCTCTTTTTTTTTTTTTCAAGCGAGGAATCTAGGACTTGAAGCAAAGCAAGGCACAGGATGTGCTGAGTGCATGGATATATGTATCAAATCCCCACCTGGAAAGGAAAAAGGGAGGAAGAAAGAGAGGGGTTGAATTTGCTCATTTAACAAGTGTCATTAATACCTACAGCACGTCAGGCATCATATTCTATTTCTTCCATGTGATCTGATTTATTCATCACAAGAGCCTTATGAGGGTCACTGTCATTGCCTTTGGTTTCAGATGTATAAACTGCCTGTAAGAAGACACAGAATAACTTGCTACCGGTTAGAAAGCTAAACAAAGGAGCTGGAGAGGTGGCTCAGTGGGTTAAGGGCGTTTGCTGCCACACCTGATGGCCTGAATTTGTTATCTGAGGCCCATACGGTAGAGGGACTCCAACAAGTGTTTCATAACTAACAAGTAAAATAAAACAAATAAACATAAATTAAAGCTGAAAAAATAACAAGCAAAAACAAAACAAAGCCCAGACCAAATCAGCCCCAAAATCTGAACTCACTGTTGCCTAATTCCTAAGACTTTATCCATTTCACTAGCTACTCTGCTGCCCTCCCCCAACCCACCTTTCTGCCCAGTTAGGCAGTGATTACGGTCATTGATCGTTGATCACCAGAACTCCCCCAGCTGCTGCTGCTGCTGCTGCTGACATTGTCTGCAGAGGCAGCGGGGAAAGCTGCTGCCTTCTCATCCGCTTGCTCACGCTGAGGACAGAAGCCCAAATGAAAGAGAGGGCTGCAAGTGGGTCAGCCATGGCGAGCCTAGCTGGCTGACCCGGGGCTGTCACATACAGCCCTGGGAGCGCTAATCCTTTAAAATGGGGATGATGATGCCAGCATGTCTAATGTTGTGAGGATGGAGCAAGGCGACACAAGCTAAGTACTGAACACATGAATGTGCCTCTCACACGTCCTCTGCCCCTGCCTCAGAGGTTCTGATTCCAAAAAGTTTCTGCTTCTTTGTTTGAGACAATGTCATGTAGCCCAGGCTGGCCTTGAAACCTTGGTATTTCTGTCTTTACATAACACTTTGTTTGTTTCATTGTTTTTATAGTATAGGGTCCTGTTACATGCTAAGTGTGTGCTCTTCCAATGAGTTACACCCCCAACCTGGAGTCTAGACCTTTTTTGTTTGTTTGTTTTTGTTTTGTTTTGTTTTGTTTTTCGGGACAGGGTAGGCTCTCTGCGTAGCCCTGGCTGTCTTAGAACTCTCTCTCTCTGCAGACTAGTCTGGCCTAAAACTCAGATCTACCTGCCTCTGCCTCCTGAGTGCTGGGGCTAAAGGTGTGCACCACCTCATACGGCTGGGCCTTTCTATCTTTACTATCTTCCCTGGTGATTCTGATACACAGCCAGGTTTAGAGGAACCTACCTACAAGGTATACGTAGCAGCTACAGAGAGGAAAGAGTCATAAGCGGTCCCTCTCCCCGAGCCCCACCTCACTGCACCCCCATTTCTTGTAGCTACTTTTCTCTCAGCTCCTCCACACTGGTGTGCAAGAGTTCTCTCCAAATCAAGGGCTCAGTGCTTTAGCAATGAGTCAGCAGCACTCGGAGTCCTGAGGAGCCTGCCTTTCCTGCCGCCTGGGAACCCAGCCTGAGCGGGGAAACAGGATGCCATGGGGTTTGTTCTAGATTAGCTCCCTTTTGACTCACTGGTAGCAAAAGGCTAGTCAGAGAAGCCTCACTTTGCTCACGCTCCAAAAGAGAGTTCAAAAAGCAGACTTGCCCATTGGAACTCTGCTTAGGAGCATGTCCCTTGCTGTTGACAATGAGAGCAAGTAGAAGGACGTGGGCAGGAGGAACAAAAAATATGGAACAAAATTACACAGCTCTTATTTCCCATTCCTATGTCATTTGATTCTCACAGTGATGGGGAATAAAATTCACTGTTCTTTCTGCTGATCTCTGAATGTGTCAAGCTTGTTTCTACACCCACTCTTTGCACTGTTGTCAAGACTCGGAATGCTCTGCCACAACTGATCATGAATCTGTTTCTTCTCAGCCAGGCCTCAGCCTACCTGTTGACTTTTCAGATAAGGCTTTGCTAGTCCATCATCAGCTCTAAGGTGTGAATGCAGGCACGAGAACACATCCTCTTCTAGCAGGTAGTTTAAAACTCTCATCTTAGCATTCACTTACTCCCTAGCATCTGAAAGTGTTCCATGGATAAATGTTTATGGAATAAGCCTCCTAATGGGGCTACCCCAGGATGAAATATGATTGAATTTTTTTTTTTTTTGCTTTGTTTTTGAGACTCATCCTCATGTAGTCCAGATAGGACTCAAATTCAATATATAGATGAGGATGACCTTGCACTCCTGACCCTCTTCCCTCCACCTTCTAGGAGTTGGGATCACAGGTGTGTGTCACCATGTCCAGGGCTTTGTTTATTTTTGTTGGTGTTGGTTATGATGGTGGTAGTGGTGGTGGTGGTGGTGATGATGGTGATATTGGTGCTGTGTTCTTGGTGGTGATGATGGGGATTTTTTTTTGCCATTATTATTATTATTATTATTATTATTAGTCTTTTTTTGAGGAGCTAAAGATGAAATCCAAGGCTTTGCACATCTTAGGCAAATATTCTCTACTACTGAGTTGCATTCCCAGTCTGTAATTTTGTTTTATTTTGCTGGTCCCAGGCTACCTACAGTTCTGAGAAGGGAAGTGACTATCCCAAATCCATTTCAGGTCTTTCCTCTTTTTTTTTTTTTTTTTTTCCTCCAGGCCCTTCCTTGTAAAACCTGACACAGAGACCTGGGTAGGGTGAGGCTCCCGGGTGTGATGAAAGCTTGGAGTTGCCCCAACAAGGCTGAGCTGACGTAGTGGTGAGACGGAAGGACCTACCATAGGAAGGAAGAAGCAGGCTAGGACAGGGGAGCAGGGTGTGAATGACGGGAGGGGGGGAAAGGGGAGTGACTTGGTCATGTGTCAGGAAGTGTCTTCCCTCCACCCTGCCCTGGAGAGAACCCTGACCCCTAGATGGCTTTGGTTTTAAGATGGAACACCTGCTGGAGGAAATGAGGTGTGGCTGGGGTGGTGGCTAGCTTCTGAGGACCTCGTCCCGATACTGAGCACCCAGAGGAATTCCAAGGTGGCTTTTGGCCAAATAGGTGACAAGTAAGCTTCCATCTGAGACCATTTTGACGACACTTGGACCCTGACATGTGGCCAGGCCAGGCGTCTTCTAGGAAAGGGAGAGAAAAGGGTATCTAAGGAAAAAGAGTCAGCTTTGGATGTCTAGTGATAGCATCAACAGCAGTAACAGGCCACAGGTATTGAGAGCTTATACCTATTACCGCAGTTTCTGCTTTATGTTTGCTCCCTCGCTCAGTCCTCAAAAAGCTTTCTGCACAGCAGGCATTGTTGGTACTACTATTGTTATCCCCTTTTGAGATATGTAGAAACCGAGGCTCAGTGAAATTAATTATCATGGAGACATGGCTCAGCAGGTAAGAGCATTGCTGCTCCTCCAGAGGACCTGGGTTCGATTCCCTGCATTCACATAGGAGCTCACAACCATCTGTAACTCCAGTCCCAGGGATTCTGATTGCCTCTTCTGACCTCTGTGGGCACCAGGCAAGCATGTTCTACACAGACATACATGCAGGCAACACCAGTACACATCAAATAAATCAAATTAACCTTCTTCCAAAAAAATAAAATCCATTGTGTTGTGCAAGTTCACACAAAAAACAGCAATCCAAGTCTGTAGACACCACAGTGCACGGTAGAAACTTAAGGCCTGGGAGTGTGGTCAGGGAAAATTAAGAAGGGGAAGCCAGATTGACCCCTGCAGAAGTGGGGGTGGGTTGGGGAGAAAGAATGGGATAGACAGTGTATAAATAGTAGGCCTGTTTTTATCCCTACACATGGCTGAATCAGGCAAGTGCTCTGTCTGGCACAATTTGAAGGTTCTGAATGCCAACCCAGCCCTGTGTCAAACTCCCTACCCAGCACGTCCCTGGAAGCTGAAATACTTAGCGAGGGAGTCATTATTTGAGTCAGGACATTGGCTCCGGACGACCCCCAGTAAAAATACACCAGTTGGAAGACAACCGCGTCAGTCTGCATTGCGCGTACCATCAAGGTTAGCTAGTCGGGTCCTTTGAGAGGAGAGCTTACGTTTCCTTAACACCCAAGGAAAAGTATGAGGCTTGTCCTATAATCTCTGTCTCTCTGATTGCAAAAGCCTGGGAATTATATGGCATAGCTCAGAAATCCTAAAGTAGACTATGCCCCCTGGGGAAAAGCAGTGGAAGCCACTCCTAACTTCCTTTGCTGTTGCTGGACTGGCATCAAATGATTGCAACTTCGTGTCTGGTCCCTTTGCCCTCGGGAGACCAGCCGGCATTCGTATTTCTAACTTTTTTTAAACAATAAACAAATAATTGTTTACTGCTTGCTATCGTCTGAGCGCAGACGCCCAGCGTGGCACAGGGACTTGTCAAAGATGCAAGGACGCAGGCCAGGAGCAGCTCTCAGATCAGCTTTCGCTGGGCTGCACCGTGACAGGCGTTGGAGGGAAGGTAGGATCCGGTCTTCGCCACCTGCTGGTCATTCGCCCTACACCCACACTTGGGTCCGGCTGCTTTGGCCTGGTCCCAAAAATGCGAGCACCTCCCGGTCCTCCCGCCGCGACCGCCTAGTCCGGGGCAGCGCGGCGGGCGCCTCCAGCCGGACGGGCTTCCCGGCGCGGGAGGGGGAGGGGAGGGGGCGGTGCCGGGTGGGGCGGGGCTCCCGCTGCTTCCCTGGAGCCTTATTCCCGGCCGCGCGCTGCCAGCGAACGCTCAGTCGGCCCAGGGAGGTGCACGCGGCGAGCGGCTGGTCGGCCTGACGGACGGTCAAGGGCTGGAGTGGGCGCGCGGACGGACCGCGAACAGACGGACGCGCCTCGGCCGCAAGGTTCCCAGGCAGGATCTTCCCGAGAGGCGGGCAGCGCCCGGTGGAATCTCGCTGCCCCTCGCTGCCTGGCCCCCGAGTGCAAGCGTCCAGCGGCCGCCGCATCCAAAGTGATCGCTGCCTCTCCTTCCCCGCCAGGCTCGGGACCATGAAGCCGCTGCCGTCGGTGGCGCTGAAGCTCTTTCTGGCCGCAGGTGAGAGCTGATGTCTCCGAGGTCGGGGGTGGGGTGGGCGCCGTGCGGGGGACACGTGGGAAGGTCGCTGCGGCGACCCCACCCCCACCCCCTCCAGCGAGCCACTTGGCGGGGCCCGTGCGGCCTTGGAGGGCGGGCGTGGACCTCGGTGGCATGGTGAAGGCGGGGTGCAGGCGAAGGGTCTGATGAGGCCTCCTCTCTTCCCTGGTCCAGTGTTGTCCGCGTTGGTGACCGGTGAGAGTCTGGAGCGGCTTCGGAGAGGTCTGGCGGCAGCAACCAGCAACCCTGACCCTCCTACTGGATCCACACACCAGCTGTTACCCACGGGAGGCGATCGCGCTCAGGAAGTCCAGGACTTGGATAAGACAGACCTGGACATTTTCAGAGGTGGGTGTGGAGGCCGCCTAACCTTAGACGCTGGTTGAAGATGAAGCGTGCACAAGGCTGGGCATTTAGCTCAGTGGTAGAGCGCTTGCCTAGCTAAGCGCAAGGCTCTGGAGGTTCGGTCCTCAGCTCTGAACTAAAACAAAACACACAGGTCTGAGATTTATACTTTTACTCCCGCCCTTCCCCTGGGGGCTGAAGGGATGTTATGACATATTTCAAGGAAAAGCTTGTGGCCCGATTGGTGTTGGGGATCCTGGAATATAATGCTATCATTCTTGTCCTCACTCACCTGGCGTGGATTCCTACTTCTTTATACTTTGGAGCAAACTGAAAGAGGCAGGTTGTCCCCTGAGGTAAGCTAGACGGTAGGAGGAAGCCATGATCACGATGCTTTCTCTACAGTGTCCATGCAAAAAAAAAAAAAAAAAAAAAAAAAAAAAAAAAAAAAGGAGGGGGAATGGGAGGTGCAGGTCCTATCTGGTATCTGATTGTGACTATATATGTGATGATTATATATAAAACAAGATGATGGGTGGGAACACTGAAAGTGTGCAGTGATAGTCTCCTTCATCCTCCTGCCTCCAGGCAGTTAGGAACTCCTGGCTTTGGTAGATGAGGCCAGCACCCCTGCAGCTGGCTATGAATGGTGCGTGTTGGGGACCTAGAAGGCTATTTTGAAATGCGGTGGGTCTGAGACTTGTAGACTCTCTGGCCACTTACAGAATATCCAAGGAGACTCCAAGAGGAAAGAGCTATGTGTGATCCTCTAACCTGAATCTGGGGCTGAACAGGGGGACTGGGCCAAGTCTGGAACCCAAGGGCCTCCCTGCCTCTGGCCCCTTGCAGTGATTCTCAGAGGTGGAGCCAGCTCTAAGCCCTGTGGGCCCCCGGAATGACTATGTTTGGTTGGAGAGACACACCTGTTCAGCCCCACCTGCTGCTCAGCCTGCCTGCCCGATCCTCACCCAAGGCTTCCCTAGGTACTTTCTCTGCTTCCTCAAGAGTCTGCTCCAAAACTGAGGCTGGGATCCCACATTTCATCCTCTCAAAAGTGGCTCCTTGGGGTCATCCATGTCCTGAGCAGTCCGGATTCTCCTGGCTCTCTTTCTCTTAGACTGGGTAGGGCTGGGCATGGCTGTGACTCACCCCCCACCCACATGGCTGCTCCTCATACCTCTGCCAACCTGACTCACTCTTTTCAGCAGGAGCCTAGCTTGTCAGTCTTATTCTGCCTCTCTCTCTAATAGCCTCGGGTCCTCCTGCTTTGCTTTCCCTGAAGTCCTGATAACTGGCTTCCTCTGGCCACTGGCATCACCTTATGTGCTCTCTGAAGGAGCCTGGAATAGGACTAGACACCCCAGTTCTCCTCCTAATCCTGCACTACCCTGGGGCAAGTTCCTACCTTTGGGGATTTTACTGTTTTCATCTTGAAAAATGCCCTGGCATTGTTGAAGTCTCATCTCTCTTGGGGTTCTATGCCCCTAATCTAACCTGTCATGTTCACCTTTCTGCCAGACTCGAGCTATAGCTGTGGACAGTAAGCACTTTTAAACTATTGGATTCAGGGATGGGGAAGGCTGGCATCAGACTCCTGGACTAGTGGCCAGTCCAAGCTGGATGCAAGTTGTTTACCCCCAATTCCTGCAGCCTGGGAAGAAGAGGGGAGTTGTCATAGTGGACAGTTCCTTGTGCATAGTGTAACCCCCACCTTATCCCAGCTGTAAATAGGATATTTGAGGATAACCCTAATTGGATGTTTGAAAAAGTGAATAAATTGTTAAGGGCATAGGGAGGGGCAGATATTTTGCCCAAACTCAAAAAAGTATAAAGTCCTTTAAATCAGGGATGGCCCCACTTGCTGTTTCAGAGCTAGGTTCTGCACCAATTTTGTTCCCTGTTACCAATGGGAACCCCAGAAGGGATGTTCCAAATCTAATAGACACTCTGCATTTAGAAACTTCCTACCCCAAAACAGCCAAGTTCCTTCTCCCAAAGCAATTTTTGTCTGTGACATATCTTCCTGCAAGTGGGTCACTGAGTAGGAGATCAGGAAATGAGGCTGACTGAAGGCTTCAATATAATCAGGTAGATGCAGGGCCATCAGAGACGGGGTAGAAAGCAGGGAAAACACGACTGCAAGGCTCGAAGCTCAGTGCCGGGAGCTGCAGTTACTCTGGCTTTCTTAGAATGAGGTTCTTCTTCCTTGGGATCTACCCTGAACTCTATTTCCTCTTTAAGTTTCCTCTTTCTTCTGGTTCTTAAAGAGCTTTCCCAGACCCCTGACTGCAGGTGGGGTCAAAGAGTGTGTGCACCGGGTGTGCACACCTGTAATCCCAGCACTCAAGGAGGCAGAGGCACAGGTGGATCTCTGTGAGTTCAAGGCCAGCATGGTCTAGAAAGTGAGTCCAGGACAGCCAGGGTTACACAGAGAAACACTATCTCAAAAATAAATAAATAAATAAAGTGCATCCTCATGAGTTATGGAAGTACCCGACTAATTCCATGTTTTTAACGATGGTGTGGGCGGCATGAGAGTCTCAGGTTAGCCTGGCTTATATCTGGAGATGCTTTTTCAAAGAGTAGAAAGGCTGAACTAGTACCTTTTTTCTGCAGTTGATTTCTCCTCCAAGCCACAAGCGCTAGCCACGCCAAGCAAAGAAAAGAATGGGAGAAAAAAGAAGAAAGGCAAGGGATTAGGAAAGAAGAGAGACCCGTGTCTTAAGAAATACAAGGACTTCTGCATCCATGGGGAATGTCGGTACCTGAAGGATCTCCGGACTCCCTCATGCCAGTAAGTGCTCCGTTCCCAGAAGGAATCTCATCATCACACTGCCAGTCACATGATCTTTCTCTTTGTCACTGTTCCTTGAATTCATAATTTCACCCAGTTTCTTTTCAACCCCTGGGAGGAAGTTCAAAGGAAGGGACATATTTTTAGTCAGCGGAAGTCCCCGCCGCTGCCGCCGCCACCACCACCTCCAAAAAGGATGCAATTTCCTGTGCCATGGGTTTGTGACGCTCCTTCAAGCTTCAGGACATTTCCTCCTGCATACCCATAAATGAGCATGTGTCTAGGAGGACTGGTGCTTGGGAAGGAGGTCCTTCATTCCTGCCTTGGGCCCTTCTCTGGAAAGGAAAGCCAATAGGAAAGATGGCAGAGTGGGTTCCTGGTAGAATGCAGTTAACATGAGGTGCCTTAGGTTACATGCCCTGCAGGGGCATGTGCTCAAGTGTGTGCCCGTGAGTGAACAGGTGTGCCTTGATTCTAAGGCATGGCAGGACTACACAGAGGGGAAGGAGCATGTAGAGTGAGTTGAAGCCCCTCTTTTTTTCATTCCCCTTCTTCCCTGTCAGGAGAGAGACAAACTATTGGAACCCCGTGACTCTGCCTAGGAGCCTACACAGTTCGGGTTGCTACTGTGTATACACTGCCTCCCACCCTGTCAAAAATCTGTATTGTGTCTCTTCCTCCTGTGACTAGCATGGGTCCTTTGACTCTTAAAAGCACTCTTGTCCTGTTTAATCACACATAGCAGATCTGCCCTGTATTTGCCAGTTGGCAGACAGACCCGTTGTTTTCCCCCTTCACAGTCAGCGTGTCCTTTCCTGTAATGTCACAGGCAGGAGCTTGCTGTATTGGAGAGACTTATTTAAGAATGGCAGAAACAACTGGGTGGTGGTGGCGGCACATGCTTTTAACCCCCAGCACTCGGGAGGCTGAGGCAGGCGGATCTCTGTGAGTGAACCGCCAACCTGGTCTACAGAGTGAGTTTCAGAATAGCCAGGGCTACACAGAGAAGCCCTGTCTCAAGATACCGAAGGAAAAAAAAAAAAAAGGCAGAGTCTCTGTCTGCTCCTTCCCAGTGTCCCAGGACAGGACAGGAAATGTTTGTCTTAAATGTGTAAAATGGCATCATCAACTTAGGGTGGAGAAAGTGACTCTGAGGGTAGTCAAGACAGGCGAGAGTCAGGAGTCCGTCTAGCCACACTGGCTCAGGATGTTTGTGGCTCGGGGTGTTTTGCTGAATGGATGTGCAGAGCTTTTATTGATCAGCCGAGAAGTAGGGTTCCCCAGGCCTCCTAAGCTCAGAGAACACAACAAGTGTGCTTAAGGCCACCTTCCTAGTGGCTCTAGTGATAATAATCATATTGGCATTGTTTCTTTGAAATCTGAATTGTTTACGTTTAAATCAAGTTCAGCCCAGCAGACACGGTGAGCACTTACTTGGTGTGAAGGGATGAAAAGAGATGCGTCTTTTGGGATTTCCAAAAAGGCCTCTGCTGGGAGGGCAGAACTTTCTCTACTCAAAAAATGAGGAACCCACAGAGAACGAGTAGGAAGTTATTTGCATGACATCAACAGCTAAATAAGTTCGTGGGAAGAAGATGGGGGGGTCTCACTCCTATCCCAGCATGCTTTTCATGCTCCCAAGACACACTGGATGCTAGCTTTCCTCCTCTATCTCAGCCCTTATAGAATTGAGCAGAATTTCACGGGAGCATCTTTTGTCCCGGGACACTCGTGAGGATTTTACTTGTCCATTACTGTGTCAGCTTCGTAGGCAGGCTGCCTAGGGTGGGTTCTCTGACACAGAGCTCCTGGTTTGCAGCAGCATAACGTCTATGCACCTACATCTGTGTCCCTTCTTGTGGCTTCTCCTCTACTTTAGACCCAGAAACTGCCAGCTAGGGTGTGTCCAGGCTGCTGTGGTGAACTTGAGGCTAGCTGGCTTTCTAAACCAGCCTCTGACAGCCCCCAGGGACAGGAAAATCCTTCTGTGTCACCAGCCAGAAGTTGCCCTCAAAGAGCAGTTTTCTTGAGCTTCTGACTGGCTGCTGACCCAGAAATTGGTTGCAAAGTTTCCTGTGGCTGCTGCAAACTTGAGGGTAGTTGGGTTGGGAAGGACTCGGCTGGAATAGAGGAGGCCTGCAGTTTCACTGTGTGCACTGCTCAGACGCAGAGGACCCCTTTTCCAGACTCCATGGGGCTTGAGCATCTCATCTCATTGTATCATGACTCACATGAGTGGGGCCTGGGCTTTTCATGATGCCCCAGTGAGGCAGGCTTTTGTTACCTCTGATTTGACATGAGGAAACCAAAGCTTAGAAAAGTAATGTGTCTTGCCCAAGATCACCTGGCTAGAAATAGCAAAACCAGTCTGGAACTCACTTATTCTCATCTCCTCTATCGAATGATGCTTCCTCCACCTCCCGGGGAAGCTATGGAGACATATATGATTATGTAGAAGATATTTCTGGACTCCAGGAGGAGCTCCTGTTGTCTTGCAAGTTCTGAAGTGGGTCACAGACATGGAGAGGAGAAATATGTCCTAGTTTGATGGATGTGTGTGTTGGCTTGGGGCGAGACACATGATCTTGCCCTGCATCCAGGGATGCTTTGAATGTACTCAACCCTCCTCCTTCCCTGGGGAAGCCAGGCTTTGAAGGGAGGGAGAAGTGGGTAATATTAGCACACTTACATTATTATCCTTTTGACTCAGGACAGAGGTGGTTGGAAGGATTATATAACTGAATTGCAGGACTCTGAGGCCAAGTTTTATTTCTACCATCTGAGTAACTACCTGTGGGGTTTGAAATGATGGTTTGGAAGTGCAAAACAGATTCAAGTTCAGCTTCCGTCTCCTGGCATAGCATAGTTGCTGAAGTCATCCAGACTGCTGGGTTAAATCCAGGGCTCTAGTACTCACTAACTTTGTAACCTTGGCATGTCACTTAGCAGGAGTTAAGCCTTGATTTCTTCAAAATGGGGATGGTAACTTCTCCTTCACAAGCGGTCAGACTTCAAATGTTAAATGTTATCAAAAGGCCCGAGTTCAAGCCTTGGCCCCAAATTCAAGCCTCGGCATCAAAGACCAAAGAAAATAATCCTCGTGAAATGCAGAGTAGCTCATGGTAGGCCTTTGTTATTTGCTATTTATTGCTAAGGCTTTGAATAATAATCAATAACAATAATGTGGTCAGAGAGCAGATCAGACAGCCCCAAGACCTACCAGATATGTTTCCTTAGGGTTACCCGAGTTGCTCAGAGTGGATGGAATTGTAGGGGCTTCTGACCTTGGCCTTGCTGCTTCCTAGTTATGAGACTTGACAAATCCCTTAATCTCTGTGACCTCTTATCTCTCTGCACACATGATTTTCCAGAGACCCTCCCAGGAGCTCCCTTTAGGTCGTGGTAGGGTAGGGATGTATTTTTCCTGACTCTGACTCAGGGGCCAGAGATGCTGAGGAGGCCAGGTAAGGAGTATATCCTGTTCTTTGCGGACCTGACCTACCTTTAAGGTGCTTTGTGCCCAGGCGTAGGTGCAGGGCAGTGCTAAGGGATGTAGTGCCACTCAGCTTGACCCCTTTGCCAGTGCTCCCCGGAGCCTCCCAGGGCTCTGCCAGCAGGAAGGAGGGCTTCATCCTGACTCTGAGGCTCCAGGTGCACAACCTCCTCCCAGAGAAGATGCAGTTCAGAACAGAGGACCACCCAGTTCTCTGTGCCTCCGTCAGCAGCTACCGGCCTAACATCCCCAAACTGACAGGCCCACCTCCCGCCCCAGCTGCTGGGTGAGCAGTTGTGGAGTGTGCCTGAACAAAGTTAGAGGGTCCGTGCCCATGCTGCTGCTGCTGCTGCTGCCGCCGCCGCCCTGCTGCGTGACCTTGGGAAGCTGAGCCACCTTTCTGCAGCATGGGGCTCCTCCTACATCAAAGGATCTCAGGGATGCTCAAAGGAAGGGATGTGAATGTGTTTCTTCAGCAGTCTTCCTAAGAGCTCTAAGGAAATGCTTTGTGTTCGGGGGAGGTGGTTGTCACATGATTTGTTTCTTGAGTGAGAAGAGCCCAGGGATTGTTTCTGACATTCTTTCATGCTGTGACAGGGTGGCTGGGCAGGGAGATGTTATCTTGATTTGTTTGCTTTGTCCTGGGATGAAGGAGGCCTGAGAGCCTGGCATTCCGAGGCCAAAGGCTGCAGTTTAGCTCCCAGGTTGGGAGCTAGGAGTTAAATGAAGGAAATGAGAAAAATGATTCCTGGCAAAGGGACAGGGCCTATTAATAGGCTGAGCAGCGGTGGGGAGGGGCTGCATGCTGGATGCACTGATGGGCAAGGCTGGGTTTATTTCTGGGTCAGAATGTTGAAGGGCCTCTCTAGAGGGAGTGATACCGAATCCCCCTCAACTCAATCCATCAGCCCTTATGTCCAAGTCCTCTTAAGTGGCTTAAGCAGAACACCTTAGGACAGATGTAATAGATTAGACCCATGTGGAATACATCTAAACTGAGACCTTCAGCTCCTCCTTCACTTTTTCCCCGCCTGAAGCAGGACTCTGGGGGCAGGGTGGGTGAAAAGAGGGGCAGAGTGGACACAGGCGCCATTAACTCTATCTTCTTCTTGTTATTCTAGCTGCCACCCTGGTTACCATGGAGCGAGGTGTCATGGGCTGACCCTACCGGTGGAGAATCCCCTATATACATATGACCACACTACAGTTTTGGCTGTGGTGGCTGTAGTGTTGTCCTCTGTCTGTCTGCTTGTCATAGTGGGACTTCTCATGTTTAGGTGAGTGTTGGGGGCCCTTTGCAGGCTTGTCTTGGGAACCACTCATTTCCTTCTCCTCGTAGGACTCAGAGCCTCTTTTCATACCCCTAGATCTTGGGTTTGTTACTGTGTACTTTCTAGAAACTGTTTTGCCTGACACAGCATGTAGAGCCCAAGGTGCCTATTTCCAGGCCTTACAGGTTCATTTCCTCCCTCCGTGGCCGGGTGACTCACCCACGGAGAAACCTCTAAGGACGTTTCTTTCTCCCAGCATTGGTGTATGGTTTGGTAGTAAAGGCATAGATAATATTATTGATGGTAATCTTTCAGTGAGTCTATAAAGATATTTTGAGGACCAAATAATGTTAAAATAAATAAAGTTAGGGGTGATGGGTACATGCCTAGTATGAGGCCAGCCTGGGCTACATAGGAAATGCTGGGTGATGAGGTACTGTCTCTAAAAACATGCATATACATATAGTATATATACACATATATATATAAATATACACAAATATGTAAATTATCTGCTGGTAGAGCCAGGAACCCCTCAGGGAAGTTGAACTTTAGCTAAAGACTCATGAGTTGCCTTACCTTCTGGGCTTTTCCAAGAGATTGCCATCGTGGGGTGGGAGTTCCTTCAGAGGCCTGCACCTTGTCATTTCCTCACAACCCCTATCTCCCTCAGGTACCATAGGCGAGGAGGTTATGATGTGGAAAATGAAGAAAAGGTGAAGCTGGGAATGGCGACTTCCCACTGAGGAGGACCTGCACGCAAGGTAATGGTCCATCCTTTGCCCTGGGCAGCAATGGACAGGCCAAGGCATGGGTGGGTCTTGGGTCTGTTTCAGTGATTGCTGAGTTCTCTTGATCAGGGGTTGCAGGGCTGGGTTACTACTGTGGGGTCAGAGTTCCCATGTAGAATTGTTTCCAGAGACTTGGTGAGGCCTCTCTGGTTAGCTTACAAGGTTGCGGCACCCCCAGAACCCCTTCCTAACACTTTTTTGCATTTCACGAGATTGGACCCAGCATTAATTGCCCCCCTCTTGTGCTTCAGAAACCTTCAGGGGATGGCTACCTCTGAGACAGTGGCTCATTACAAGATCTACAGAGGGACAGTACTTCAAAGGCAGCCATGAAGACCTGCTTCTTCATTCCCAGTTGCTACCCTGACTGGGCCTCCGTAATCGCTCTGCAAAAATATCAGAGCCTCCAAGTGCCAAACAGACTATGCCCACTGGGATCCGGATCAGAAGGAAGCAGAGGCGAGAGGGCCATTCAGGTCTTTCTGATTCTCCTCCACTGACCCCACTGGCTTGTTGAAACACTTAGCTTCTGGATTGAAGTGCCAGCTAGTTTTCATGTGCTCCAGGGTTTCTGACTGAAAAAAAAAAAAAAAAAAATGAGAGGAATGATGAGCGATTTATGGACTGGGAGAGAGCGACAGAGTTGGAAGCCATGTGGCCAAGTAGCCACAAGGGATCTGCTGTTTGGACCCTCCAGCACGCTGGATTTGATGAGCTAACTGTGAAATACCACAAGCCCAAGAACTCTGAATTTTGGGACTTCTACCCAGAGAGGAAACATAACAACTTTTTTTTTTTTTTTTTTTTTTTTGTTATTTGTTTGTAAAATGCCTCTTAAATTATATATTTATTTTATCCTATGTATGTTAATTTATTTAGTTTTTAACAATCTAACAATAATATTTCAAGTGCCTAGACTGTTACTTTGGCCATATTCTGGCCCACCTCTTTGCAGCTCTACAGCCTGGCTCAGCACCACGCTGCCGTTTGCTCTATAGCCCATCTATAGTAATTTATTGTCTGTCTACATTTCAGAAGCTATCCCAGGAGCAGAGTATCCCAGCGGGGGTTGTGTATGGTCAGAATGCAGGGATTGATTTGGGTAGAGCCACTCCATGAGTTGGACTGCAGTCTTGCCTAAGTGATTTTTGTCTACTGTTTGTGTTTCGAAAGCCCAAGGTGCTGATGTCGATGTGTAATAGATATTGGTGTTTGCCTGAGTCCTCTCCCTTTCAAATCTCAAAAGAGGTTGGGTGTCCATGCCTGCAGTTTACTGGTCCCTTGTCCTCCATCACCCTGTCCCACTCTCCCTTGTGTCAAGATGTCTCCCTTACTCCTGCCATTCTTCTGGTGCTACTCCATGCAGGGGCTGGTAAAGCAGAGGACAGTTTGGAGAAGGTATTAGTGAAGAAAAAGGCTGAGGAGGGACAGGGAATGTTGGAGTCGACTATCTCGGTAGTTGATTACCTATCGGTTACTACAGAGAAAGTTGGCGGTGGGGAAGGTTTTGGGTAAGCAAACTGTGTCTGCTGTCACAGTCCCCGTGGAAGTTTCCGGTGCCATTTCTGAACTGTTACAACCTATATTTCCAAAACCTGGTTCATATTTATACTTTGTGATCCAAATAAAGATAACCCTTACTCCATGGTCTGCTTAGTTTTGGTTTGGCTTATGTTTGCTTGTTTAAGGTATCGCTGTTGAACCTTGGCTGTCCTGGACCTCTCTATGTAGACCAGGCTGGTCTTTAACTCAGATCTGTCAGCCTTGTCACTGGGGTGCTAGGAGAAAAGGCTTGTACCACCACACCTGACTTGTTTGTTTGGTTTTTATATACATGAGTTAGCGGGCCAGAGCTTGACTTTGGGTGTTTTTCACAATTGCTCTCCTTTATTATTTATTTATTTTATTATTATTATTATCATCTTATTTAGACAAAGTCTCACTACATAGCTCTAGCTTAGAACTCAAGAGATCTGCCTATCTCTGCCTCTTAAGGGATGAGATTAAAGGGATGAGATTAAACAGCTACCATGTCCTGTTTGCTCTTCTTATTTTTTGAAACAGTCTCTCACTGAGCTCATCGGTTCATTATGACTAGACTAGTGCACCAATGAGCTTCAGGGATTATCCTGTGTCTGCCTTTTACTATCCAGGGTCTGGAATTTCAGACACATGCCAGTGTATTGGCTTTTATATGTGCATGGGGAATACAAACTAAGGTCCTTTTATTTACATATAAAACAACTTCACTCACTGAGCCATTCCCCAGTCCTATTCTGCTTGCTTTAACTGGGAACTTGTTTAACACAGGAATTTTCTTTTTCTTTCTTTTCTTCTCTCTTTCTCTCCCCTTCTCCTCCCCCCCACCCCCCGTCTGGTTTTTTTTGCTTTTTGTTTTTTTGTTAATTAGTTGCTTTTTTAAGTCAGGGTTTCTCTGTGTAGGTCTGGCTGTCTTGGAACTCACTCTGTAGACCAAGCTAGCTTTGAACTCTATGATCTGCCTCCCAAGTGCTGGGATCAAAGGCATGTGCCACCACTGCCTGGAAACATTGGAATTTTCTAAGCTGTCTCAGTGTTAGACATGTTTATGGACACTTTTCTCGCTATTCACAATTCCATGGTGGGGGGTTGTTGTTGGATATATATTTACTGTTGATTTATCTTTTAGTTAAGCAACGGTTGTTCCTAAACCAGCTGAATACCCAAATCACCACACAGAGACTGGGATTTATTTAATTAACCTAGAGCACAATGCTGGGCAACAGTTACTCCATCCTAAACCTCCAAGCCCACATAGTTTCCAACCACTCAGATTCACCCATTATACTTGCTTTTAGTGGTATCTTAGGTCCAGTTCATTTCTCCACGTGGTTCCAAGACCGTCTCCAGATTCTCTCCTTTCTCTCTTTTGCTTCCTTCCTCTTCCAACCTACTCCGAACCAGGATGTCCTACCCTATCCTCTCCATTGCTCAGCAATGTGGCTGGTTGTTTTAATTAGCAGTTTAGAGAACAAATGGTGGCATGTTTACACAAACTTGAGACAGGTAATGTTTAGACTAAGTATCACAATGCAATGTCCAGATTGAAACCAGATAATGGGGAGAGAAATCAGCATTTGAATGAACAAGGGTAAAATGTATACATTCCAAAAGAACATTATACCAATGGGGGTTGGGGTTGCTATTACTATATCATTTTCCTAAAAGGGGAAATTGAGGCTCAGGTTGTATACCTTGCCTAAGAAAACACAGTGAGCCAGGACTAGTAATTTTGTTCTAATACTTAACTATCTTTCACACAAGAAACACTAGAACTGGTAAAGGAAGTCTGGCTGGCTGGGCTTGCAAATGTTCAATTGTCAAGCCCTCGACTCAGGATTTAGTTGTGTGCTGTACATGCAAGCAGCCATTGCTGCTGGAAAGAACAAGATGTTTTTGCCTTTCCTCTCGTGCTCCGCAGCCAATCCACCAGCCACTCTCATCAGCTCTACTTTTTGAATGTATGTATGCAACCACTTATCACGATCATCACCCAATCCTGGACTCTGGGGCGGCCTTCTGCCTTCCCACGTGCTTCTTTGCCAAAATGATCATTTACTTAAAACATAACTCGGGACTGGGAGTGGCAGCTTAGTGGTAGAACACAGGTTTACATACAAGACGTCCAAGGTTTGAGTCTCCACATACTGACACACCCATAAATCAGATCTTGTCTACTTTGAAGACCCTCCCCGTCACCCTAATTATACACAAAACATTCCTCAACATACCCTTCTCTCCTGACAGGGACTCAAGCTTCTTCATCGTTCCCAATTCCTGCTAACACATCCCTGTTTGTTTATTGTTAATCTGCTCCTACTAAAATATTAGCCCAATGATGGGTTTATTCTAATAAAGCTGAGATGTAGGTATTCAGTATTTGTTACATTTATACATTGTTGTAAGAACACTAAACTCCAATCCAAAACTAACACACGGGCAGATTCAATCAAGTGTTGCCCTGAACATTGTTGGGTTTTGAGAGGTGCCTCTGTCAGGGAAGGTGGACTGGACAACAGGATAAAAGTGAAATTAAGGGCCCGTCATGATGCATGGTGTCCTGGATGAGCTGGAGGCAAGGAAAGCCATCATACAAGTGTCCTGGGTTGTCACTCCTTTCTCCCACCTCTCCTTGGAGAGAAGTGACATGCTCAAGTTTCTCTGGGAGCCCAACTAGAGATGTTTTCTTTCTTTCTTTCCTTCCTTCCTTTCCTCCTTCCTTCCTTTTCTCTTTGACAGAGTCTTATGTGTAGCCCAGGGTCATCCCAAACCTTCCATCTCCCTGCCCCAGACTTCTGAGTGCAGGATTCCTAGTGGCCACCACTCTACCTGGCCCACATAGAGATCTTGTATGTACTTTGAATATCTTTTTAAAACTCTGGCAACCAGTGTGGCAGTTTATATTGACTGTCAATGGCAAGATTTAGAATCATCAAGGGAACAAAGCTCTAGGCATGTCTGTGAGGGATTTCTAGATTAGGTTAACTGAGGTGAGAGGACCTACTCTAGCTGTGAGTGGCACCATCCCGTGGCTAAACCCAGACTGAGTATTAAAAGGAACTCAAACCTGGCACCATCATTCATCTCTCCCCTTCTTGACTGAGGATACAATGTAACTGGCTGCCTCAGACTCTTGATATATGATTTCCCTGCCATGAAATACTGTGTAAACTGTCAACCAAAACAAACCCTTCTTTTTTCAAGTTGTCTGTGTCAGATGTTTTATCACCCAGTGAGACACGCAGCTAATAAGACCAGTAACTGCCAAAGCTGTATGATTGGTCTATCACCCAAGAATTCTATTCCTAGAAGTATATGCAACAGAAACAGGTACCAGTGTTCACCAAAACCTAAAACATTGAATAATCTGAGGGTGCTAGAGAGATGGCTCAGTGGTTAAGAGCATGGGCTGCTCTTCCAGAGAACCTGGGTTCAATTCCCAGCAACCATATGGCAGTTCACAACTGTCTGTAACTCCAACACCCTCACACAGACATACATGCAGGCAAAACACCAATGCATATAAATAAAAATAAATAACTAACTGGGGGAAAAAAAAAACCCAATGATCTTCACATTACTTACAATCACTGAAAACTGGAAACCAGTCAGGTGTTGTGGGACACCACCATAATCTTAGTACTTAGGAGGTGGAGGCAGGAGAATTGTTAGTTTGAGATTAGCCTGAGCTACATATACCCTGTCTCAAAACAAAAGACAACAAAACAAAAACACAGGGCTGGGGGCTGTAGTTTAGGGGTAAGGTGAGCTATTAATGTTTGATGGTGAAATAGATAAACAAACTGGCAAATTTTGACAATAAAGTACTAAGCAGTAATGTGGATAAATCTTACAACATGACAGACCTAAGTGAGGGCATTTTGTGTGGATCCAATTACATAAAACTGAAAAACTGGGCCAGTCAGATGGCTCAGCCAAGCCTGACTATCAGAGTCTGATCCCTGCAATCCACTGAGTGGAAGAGAACTGACTCCCCAGATTGCATGAGCCCTGCTCCCTCACAGTAATAATAAATACATGGTACTAAAAAATAAAACTAATTCATAGTAAAAGAAATCTGGAAAGAGACACTGGTTGGGATCAGCAGTGACTGGAAACAAAGAGGCGACATCTGGTGTATAACGTGTTCTGTGATCTGCTGCCTTGATTCCAAGGACAATTCATGCTGAGAAAACTCGTTGAATATGACTTGCACATTTTCCTCTGTGTTATGTTTCACTCGAGAGATTGTTTAGTGTATTATTATATATGGGAGAAGAATGTCATGGCACATGTATGAAGGTCAGAGGACAACTCTCTAGAGTGAGTTCTCTCTGATCTTTACATGAGTTCCAGGGATCAAACTCAGGTCCTCAAGCTTGGTCCAAACACTTGGAAAATAAAGTCAGGAGGATCAGAAGTTCATGGTCACACTTATCTCTAGAGAAAATCTGAGGCCCTTCTGGGCTACATGAAACCCTATAACAAATAAACAAAAGCAAAACAACATAGAACAATGGTTTGGATAAAGGACAGTTGCTCTTGCCTTCTGTTCAGTTTTGTGAAGAACCAATGTCTCAAGCAGGTAATCACGAAGAATAGTAAAGAGGTCAGAATTAACTGGAGAGGGGATTTTTTTGGCTCTCCATGGGGCTCTTTTCCTGGCTCTAAATTTCCAATGGGCAGAGCCGGGCTTTCAGAGCACACTTTGATCTCTGGCTTATATTTCCTGCAGGCTCAGGCCTTCATGCCTCTCCACTGTCCTCTCTTCACGCCCCTGGTGCTAATGGAAGCTCTAACTGGAGTTGATACCATGGTCTTGGGAGCTACTGAACTAAAGGTAGGTGCTCTTTATCTGTGGCACAACAGAGAAAACTGAGACAGAGAAGTTAGATGATATGCTTATTGTTAAGGGATAAAGACAGGACACTGAGGAACTTAAATCTCAAGTCTGAGTTCTAACTTCTAAGTGACATTCCTGGATTCTTCAGGCTGGACTGTTTATCTGTCTGTCTGTCTGTCATCTATCTATCTGTCTTTCTCTCTCTCTAAGACAGGGTTTCTCTATGTAGCTCTGGCTCCTGTAGCTCTCTATGTAGACC